GATTACGATATTGATTAACAAAAATTGGTTTTTGACAATTAAATTGCCATTTATATAGTATTCATTGTACTTATTTAAAATTATACTCATTATCTCGTAAGCTTTTGTATGTATTTGAAAGGGGTAGAACGTAGGCTTGTAGAGCCGAGATAATATTGCACCGCGATCACGTATAAGGATCTATTATGTTCCCTTTCTTAGTGCGAAACATGTCCTACAGCACTCGCTCATAACCAATCCTTCTATTGAATTCAAGCACCTTATGAGCCCCGCAAGACCATATCTCCGCCGCCGCGAGAGAAAAACACCCAAGTTGAGAAGGGTAACATTTAAGATTAATTTACAAACAATTGAAATTTATCGCAAAACACAAATATTTTGTATTACAAATCTCCCTTATAATTGCAACTTGCACGTAAGATTTCAAGCTAAATGAAGAATGACGATAGCAAATTATGATAGCAATTTTCAAATACTTGCATAAAGGTAACACTATTCTTTACCTATAGGTTAATGTCTTTATTAGTCAATTGAATTGAGGAAGGAGAAGGAAATAGAAATCGTGAATAAGTACTTCAAACGTTAAATAAATGCATTCGGTAGATTCATGTACACTATTTATTTCTTAACCGGGTTTGCACCATGTTTTCAAATATCAATAATTAATATACCATTTCAATATCGTATCATTGCCATTCGGAACATTGTATTCAGGATCAAAAAAAAAACATATGTAAACTTTCTTATTTCAACCACAATCTTTATTTTTTCAACAATCTCTCAAATTATCCAACATTAAAACATAATAAGTAAAAAACGACTAAGAAAATCATAAAAATTTAAGACGAAAAGACAAGAATCCTTTTTTTTTCCCAATTTCTCATTTCTTTATTTTTATTTCTTCGTATTTTGTCTCTATTATCCACTCTCCACCCCCTTTTCGAAAAAAGGGCGCAAAAATGAAGGAAAAAAAATCAAAACAAAACAATAACAAAAAAAAAAAGAAGAAATGAAACTGAAAAAAAAAATCCTTTTTGTTGTTTTTTTTTTTCTACGTGAAAAAAAATGATGAAAACATGGAAAAAAAATCTCAAACACATCGAGAATAAAAAAATCGGTGTTAGTGGTAGTTTTTTGTGTATAAAAATTTTTTCGAAGAAATTTTTTTTTATTTTTACTTTTTTCTTTTTCTCCTTTTCTTACTTTTTTATGAATTTTTTTTTTATGATTTTAGTTTCCTGAGTAAATGAATAAGGATACTTTAATGGTAAAGAAATAAAGTATCTATAATAATTTCGAATTCGTCTAAACCAAAATAAATTTAAACTGTTTGTAAAGATGAAGTGTACTTCACTCATTTAAAAATTTCAACATAAATCAAATTTAAAGAGATTTTCGAACAAAAATAACAAAATATTTAAAGAAGTGGTGGTTATTTTGCAAATGTTAGTAAAACTATTTAAAGGAAATTAATCTTACTTTTTTCATTTGTAACTTAGAGGGCATAGATTACTAGTAGTAATCATACTGAATGAACAGAATTTTTTTTGTTTTTGAAAGAAATCAAAATCAAACCTCGCTTTAAAATTTCATCAACTCGTTTAGGTTTTCTAAATTCAACAATTAAACAAGTAACAACTGTATTGAGTCGAATTTTAATAATTTTTTATTTTATTCCAAATTCAAATTCTTCTTGTAGTTCATTTACATTTTGTCAAAATATAGTTCAACTATCCGAAATAATTCAGAAGTGACCGAAAGAAAGAATTTTAACTTTACAATTATTGAATAAAAATTTTTAAATTATTATTTCTCCAAATCTTATGACAAATTAGCAAAAATAAATTTAAATTACAAAAACTAGAATTCTAAAAGTCTAAGCTAAAGATTCGATTTGAAATATATATTTATGGAACTAAACTTCAACAAAATGAATAGCTAGTTATCTTATTTAGATTAATGTTGAATTATCGATGATGGATGGATTAATTTCTAGAAATTTTTGATTTGAATAAATTGTTTTTATCTAATATTATGTTATCCGGTGATTTCAAAGAATTTTCTTTTAATTCTTAAAAAAGAAATGAAAGCTTCAAAGAATATCATGAATGAAAAAGAAGCTATAAACTGTTGCAATTTAATTTCATTGGCAACTTCGCATAACAATATTAAAATTCTTGTCAAAACTCAGCTCAAATAATATGCTTGAAGCCAAAAATTAACTGAAGAAGAGAAAAACGATTATGATGTCACTTAAATCACAAAATATATTGATCACTTATCCTTGTCAAAATCAATTCGGTTCAGCAAACCAAAATATTTAATTTTATGTGTTAAGTATTTTGATTTTACAAAATTTTCATAATTAATTTTATTCAAATAATTTTCTTTCTCTCATAAAAAGTTAACAGAACCCTACTATTACATTTTAATTCTATACATTTTTATTATTCATACTACAAGGTATCAAATTAAAACGATTACGTCCACGTTTATACGAGATAAAAACAATGATAACAAAGTTAAAGCGCAAGATTATCAATATTAGCACTATTTAAAAACATTCAATGCCGACAAAAAAAAAACAAAACACGCAACAATTTAAATCTCACTTTTAACACGACGTATTTAGAAAAAAAAAAGAAATCAAAAAAAATATCTAATAAATCAACAACCTCTAAAAATAACTAAAATCTAAATCAAATACCACTCTAGATCACAAAAACAAGAAGTACAAAAAAAAATTATTCACATAATCCACAACAAAAAAAAATGAAAATGGCAAAAAAAATAAAGGTGAATAGGGAAAAAATGCTTTAATAATTCTAAAACAAAAAACTGATCCTTAACCCCATGACATAATTCATCAATATCACCGTCATCGTCATCATTATCATCATCATCATCATCACCATCATAAAAATCACAAAATAAAAAAAGGCAAGGAATATAAAAACGAAAAAAAAAAATCGTATATAAACTCTTATACATTTTTTTTAATGTTTAATTTTTATTTTGTTTTTCTTCTTGTTTTTACTTTCTTCCATCATATTCTTTCAAGTTCTTGTACTTTTATATTATATTTGTATATAAAGTATAGAAGGAACTAAATAAAAAAAAAATATAAAAAATGGAAAAAAATTTTCTGAAAAAAAAATTCTAAAAAAAAAAAAACCCTCTAAGGTACTTTGTCTCTTTTACTACATCGTATATGCCACATATACTATAATCGGAATTGCCAGATTATGTAGATCTAATATCTAAACAGGAAATCCTATAATCTTTAATTTGCAAATTTTTATATATAAAAATTGTAACAATTTCAAATCAAACATGTGACTATTGTGTTGGGATGATCTCACAAATTCTTCTTATACATTATTTCATTCACCGCTATATACTTTACTGTCACTCATCTGCATGATTATTATTTCACCCACCATTATTTACTTTATTATCACTCGACTGCATTAAGATGGCTAATAAATAAATTTTAAGAGAGGAATTTTGAAATTTCAACAAAATTTTTGATAATTTTGAAGTTCAACACAATTATTTTTTTTTTTACAAAAAAAAAACATTGAATAGCAGAATTTTTCAAATTTTTAAAGTAATGCGCTCATACATCCATCTGTATGATAGCATCTAAATAAGCTATCAAACACTTAGCATTTTTTTTTAACAATAACAGTTTACAACTTTTAGTTGACACTATTGACTTAACATTGCTATCAGTTTACAAGAAAAAAATTCGAACTGTTTGATTACTTGCTTAAATACCAATATTAAGTTAGATGTGCGAAAACATTCACATTACATAAAATGAAAAGCAAGCAATCAATCAAATAGTTTTAATTATTAGAACTTTATTAAATAATTAATTACAAGTCAGAGTAGAAGCAATCGATTTGTGTTGCCTAACAATAATAGCTAGCAGTTTCCAAAAAAAAAATTAAAACTGGTTTAATCAATCAAACAAACAATCAAACCATTTTTAATCATTTAGTTGAATGCCTGTGCTTTCATACAAAAAAAAATTAACACAACAATTTTTTTTTTAAATTAAGACAAAAATAGCAAAATATTTTTTTTTACAGATTTGGCAATGCCGACTAGAAATAAAATTAAGAAAAAATGAAAAGAGAAAAAAAGAAAAAAAACAAAAATTCAAAACATTTTTTTCCTCCATTTTTTTTTCAAATTTTTTTCCATTTTCAATAAAAAAAAAAAAATACATAAAAAAAATGGAATTTTTTTCCGATTTTTTTTTTACTGGTTTTTTCTATTGGAAGAAGAGTAAACGAAAAAAAAAATGTAAAGCAGAAAAAAAATAACGGAGACTGCACTCAGTCTTTTTTTTTTCTTGTTTTTTTTTTCCTCTGAATAGTATTTAGTCGTCCTTCAGTATCGTTGTCGTATAAATAGTCGGTTGGCGGCATCGTTCATCGTTAACGCTTTAAGGATACAAGAACAAAAAAGAAAAAATCAATTTTTTTTTTATTTTTGCTTTCTTCCTTGTTGATACGATTTTCCTTTTTTTTTCCGTGTGTTGATCCTGTATTTTTATTTTGAATTTTTTTTTTTCAATTTCTTCGTGTCGTCCTCTAAGCGATTTCAGTTCAATTCCAATTCTTGATGTAAAAAAAAATAAAAGCTGTTTTAATACTTGTTGTACGGGGTATTTTTTTTTTTTTGCTCTCTATTATTTGACTTTTTGTTTTTTCTTATTATTTAGTTTTTTTTTTTACGACGTGCCCCCTATAAATACTTACTTACTTGTATACATATGACACATATATAGATTGGGGGCTATGTGTGTATAAAATTGTACATATCATCCGTCGTCGTCTTCGTCGTCGTCATTGCCGTCTTTACAAAGAATTTGTTTTTTTTTTTTTTGCATTCTTTTTTTGCTCTTTAATATGTCCTTTAAAGATATATGTGGCGGTGGTGGTTAAAATGTACAATAATAACAGATGAAAAAACAAAAAGAAAAAAAATATATAACAAATTTTATGGTATTTAGAAAACAAAACATAAAAAACAAAAAAAAAAGAAAATAAAATAAAAATTATTGTTTTTTTGCTTTTTTTTTTTCTATGGCACATATAACGGTCTTCTATTCCATATATCAAAAAATAAACATTGTTTAAAAAAACAAAAACAATTGAGAAAAAAAAATCGAATTTATAAAGAAAAAAAGCAATCAAAGTCGTAAAGAAAAGAAAAACAAAAAATAGAAAAAAAAGTGTAACGGTGAAGAAAATCGGAAACGGAAACATAGAAATCGAGTGTGTGTAAAAATGACAGGAAAAAATTTCATAATTTTTTTTTTTGTCTTTCAATTTAAAGAAAATAAACAATACTAAGACAAAAACAAAAAACACTTAATAATTACAAACCCACAAACAAAACAAAAGAAAAAAGAACAACTGTCGGAATTTGAAATTACAGTGGAACTTTTTTAAAACGAACCCAAAGCGTTGTATATCAAAGCATTAATTAAACCCAAGACAGTTTTTATGAAATTGGATTTTTTTTTTTCTACCATATTTTTTGTTCCTCAAATTCTTGAATTTTTTTTTGATCAAATATTAATATCGTATTCGAATTGTGTTGTCGTAATCGATATTTTGTTGTAAAAATTAAAAAAAAAAATTATTAAATTCGACCACACTTATATAAATAGTGTCAAACTTGTGTTCAACTTGACCTTTCATACACAAGTTGATTGAAAGTGTTAAAAGTATTGGTCAAAATAAATTCTGTATGCCTTCCATATTGCACATAAAGGAAGAGAATTGAAATAATTTTTACTCAAAAATTATAAGTGCTTTTTAATTGAATTTTACATTATTAATTGAAGAGGTAATTGGACAAGATTGGATCTCGTCTTCTATTAAGTTTCTAGCTATAATACTCTTATAGCTAGAAACTTAATAGAAGACGAGATTGACAGTGCATATAAGAGTAAAGTAATAAAAAAATTAATATTTTTATAATTTGTTAATGAAAAAAAAATGTTACGATGCAAATATAAGTTAACCAGTTTGTCCACTCACCGCTTCAATTGTCCTTTTCCCTTACAAAATTAAATTTCTATTCAAAATTGTAAAATCATAGAATATTTTTTTTAATATTCTAAGGAAATTTTTAAAATAATTTTAAATCCAAAATGCAAAAAACTTTCACAGAAACCTGTTAAAAAAAAAACTATAAATTTTTACGACAAATCAATATTTATTTAATAATTAATATAAATTAAAGTATTTCAATTAATCTAACATTAAAAAATTAAAATATTTTATAAACGGTAACTCAATTATTCAAGATTTTAATAAGAGTTTACAAAATTTGTTTAAAAATTAAAATTGTGATATTTTTGCTTTCAAAATGAAAAATTATAATTTTAGTACTTATTTTCGTTAATTATTAATACAATACAAAAGTCATGATAAAATTTCTGATTATTGACAAGGATATGTTGAACATATGCCTAATTTTTAAAAATACTTTTCCGACGGTACACTCTTCTTTGCACACAATCTTTAAAAATTATATGAATGTGAAAAATTTCAATGAAATCAAATAATTTAAACAATAATATTATGCAATTGTACTAAAAGTTTTTGAAAAGCCCAAAAATACTTTGAAATTCATTTTAGAGTTCAAGTACCACTATAAGTGTAAACGGAAATTTATTCAAAATTAGGAATGAATTTTTTTGAATTTGACTTGAGAAATGTTGAAATTTTATTGAATAGAATTTTTTTTTAGTTGAAAAAATCTGTTTTCTCGTGAAAATCATTTACAAAATTTTACAAAGAAAACACCTTCATAGGTTTAAGAGACACACGTGTTGAGATTTCTGTGTAAATTGATTTTAAAATTTAGATATTGTTTATAATTCTGGTGTTTTACCTTAATCCTATTTTGATAAGTTCTTGAATTAATTTTCTATAAAGAACAAATCAACGTTAAAACAGTTTTAGTTTATTAACTATAAAATATGTATTGTCACCAATGTATGGTGTTAAGAAGACAATATGTGTTAAGAAGACAATAATTTCTGTGATCCGATTTTTTAGTTAAATTCGTAGATAACAAGAGCTCAATTATTAAATTTCAAGAAATTCTGTTAATTACAGTTCCTCAGATATAGAAAATAATATTAATTGGGTTCGTAGTAAAACTTCAGGTGGTAGGATCCAATTTCCTCAAAAAATTAGGCGTCTTGTAGTATTTCTTTTTTTTTTCAAATAAATTTAGAAGTGTTCAGCTCCATAATATAACAATGAATTAATCAAATTTTCAAAAATATTTCAACTTTTTTAATTTAACCAAAAAAGGGTTATTATAAATAAATTCTATCGCCAGAGCGAAGCATTAAATATTTTACATTTCTTAATTATAAAAAATTTTTTGAAAATTATCAGTACCGATAAGAAATTTTTATTAAACCCATACGTTTCTGTTAACTGTTTCAAAACAAAGTAACTTTTACTATTTAATCAAACACAATAATTATCAGGCGAAATTTTTAATTTGTTGCGTTATCACACTACTTTCCTTTGTGCCCCCGAATATATTCTTCATGCTCATGCGAAATTCTTTATTAAAAATTATATACTTATATTATGTACATTATATAGAAGCTAAAGGCATATATGATACGTACATAATTCCAATGAATTTCACCTTATAATAAGGACCAGTTAATGGTCCTTAATATAAGGTGAAATTCGATTTATATAAAAAATATCCAATTTTTTTTTTTTTTTTTGGTATCATTAACACCATAATCGAAATTTATATATTGGAGGAAATTAACATAAACTCACTGTTAATACAATAATGGTACAATAACAAGTATATATACACAAACCACAAAGTAGAAAGGAATGTATTCATTCACTTTACAAAAATACCATAAGGCAATGCAACAATTGGTTTCCTTTAATCACACATAATAACATTATCATTTATTTTAAAAATGATTATATAAATCCAATCAATTTTTAATACCTTCATTATATTATAATTGTGATGAAATCAATTCACCGATTTATACTCAATTAAATTTTAAATATCATCAACATTGGAACTCAATGGTATGGTTGACTGAATGGTATGGTCATGACAGAATCAATTTTTAATTAATAAAAATTGTTGTCAATAAATTTATATTGACCTTCGATTGAAATGCACATTTCAATTCAAGTAATCTTTTGAATTAACAACATTTCAGTTAAAAAGCAGTTAAATTAAATAGGAGCTACTATGGTTGACAATTCCGCTCATTATATTATTGAACGATTAAAACCCGTGTGTTAATTAAAATTGAAAGGATTAATTACTTAAAAAGTTTTAAAATATTTTATTGTATTGCACAAATTTAAAATTAATTTTAATTTGACCTAATAAAATTAGAATATATTTAAGCTCTCATTAATTACAAAATTCGGCAATCGAAAATTTTAAACATTATTTAAACTCATATTACTAAATTATTGTATTTTAATATTTAATTCAAATATAGAAAATAATAAGTTCATTGAACGTAAACTCTATACTAGTAAATACTAATAAACTCATAAGCAATACTAAAAAAACTCTGACTCTCACTAACTCTCAGTTATCCTCCTTTTTCTATCTCATCAAATGATGACGATTTTGCTAGGCAATCTGATAGTCACATCTGATACTTGTGCGTCTAAGCGATAATTATTTCAACGTTTTCAGGTAATATTAATTTGCTTGGCAATTGATGCTGCGTCTAAGCAATCCGTCTGATATATAAAAAATATTTTTTATTTGAAACACACAATTGTAATACTGTACAATTTGTATGGTCGGCTAACTATAATTGTCATAAATATTATATTAATGCAATAGGAACAATGTGTTCTCAAGTGTTCTAAATAAAAATTAATATTGAAAATTTTATTAAAGCTTAAGAAATAGTCTTTTAAACCGCACTCAATTCACTAATAAATATTTTCATTACAGCCAAGCTATACCAGCTCTATTTCAGAGATATGAAAAAATTTTTAAGAAATACCTCCTTCTCTTTGATCTATTTACGGATGCAGGTACATTTTGCCTAGACAATTGTATGATAATCACAGCTATACAATAGAATAATAATAATAGAGTTAATATTGTCAAGTGAGTTCTATTGCCAAACATGCGCATATTTTTTTTATATTATAGAATTTATAATAAGAAGTTAATAGATAATACTTTACCATTGAGGCTCAGAAAGATAGTTAGGTCGTTATTATTTTAATCGGTTAAGCATATCGTCTTAAATCTGGGATATTTACTTAAAATTTCAAAACCGATATTATTTTTATTGTTTTAAAACGTGCTTTTCAACCCCCACTGTGGCGTAATAATACTATTGTGAATTATGTGAGCTTGATTCTGACCACCTCTTATAACTCATAGATCACATATTTAGGTACATGTTCTTATTAATATTTTAACAATCAATTAACGAACAAAACAATTTTATTAATAAGCATTGCTTTAGAGGACAATATGCTTAATCGTTTAGAATGAAACATGAAATTTTCTTTAAATTTTCCTCAACTAATTTTATTTTCATATTATTATTTCAAATTAAATTTAGTTTTACTGTTCAAGTTATAAAAACATTCAATTTACAAATAAAAAACAAAAACAAATCGGAGAAGACTAAATAGAAAAAAAAAATATTCTAAATTGCTAAATCACAGTGAAAAATGGGAAAACTAAACGAGAAGAAAGAAAACAAAAGAAAAACGTGGGAAAATTCTTTTTTCTTTTCTATTTTTGATTTGCCCCTCGTGTTCTTTAAGACTTCAAGACTTTTTTTATTTTTTCTTTCACTTTTCTTCTTTTTCTTATTTTGCTAATAATGTGTGTGGATAAATTGGAAAAATGAAAACAAATATAAAGAGAAAAAAGCATAAGAGAAAGAAAAACACATATTTTTTCTCTTTAATTTTGTTTTGTTTTGTTTTGTTGTTTTATTCCTTCTTTGTTTTTCTCAATGAAAATGTGTAAAAAAAAAATATTTTTTTCTTTATTTACAAGAAAAGAAAATTGCGAGTACAAACGAACTCAAAAGTCAACATTGTTTATGTTTGGTTTTTTGCTCAAACTTTTCTACTTTTTTTATGTTGGAAGGAAGAGACACGCTTAAAATGAGTAACCCATTGGTTTTAATATAAGAAAAAAGAGAATTGTTGCTTTCTTTTCGATTCATACAAGTGATTTATGATTCAGATTTAGACATTCAACATGTTTTTCTCGTTCTCATTTCTATTTTTTTTTTGCTAAAATGAATTATTTTAATATTATAGATGACGGCAATTAAAAATACAATTGAACAGTAATGAAAATAAGAGAAAATTATAATATAAAAGTTTGTCTATATGTTATTTATGACATTGGCATGAATTCCATTTGCAATAAGAAAGACCAAATTACACTCTTATGAAATTAGGCAATAGTGTCACCAACAATGTTGTGCTCTACATTTTGTTCCATACAACTCGTAGAAAAGATGTTAGAAAAGCTCTTGTAAGTTCAATATTCAATAAGGTTGAAAAAATTTTTTATATTAAAAATTATTATGTTATTAAAATTTATTTTAGAATGAAAATTTTACATTTTAGATTAAATTGCCATGAGCTATTAAAAAAAGAAATTTCCTTGATCTGTTATACGCTATTATAACTGAAGCAACTGTCTAATCATAAACCTGTGCATCATTAAGAATAGGTAAATGGAGAACAAATTCATGAATTTCCAAGGGCAAAAGTGAGAGGAATGATCGGGTAGTTGAAATGGTTATCGCCTTTAGAGGAATTAGATATATAAAAAGTGCCAAAATATAAGAAATTTTTTAGGTGATTCGGTTGTGCGGAAGTGATATAAGAAAGCATGCACATAAAATAGGATATAGAAAATATTTACCCTACTGAATATTTTGTCTTGGCAGTATTTTTGGTTAAGATGGCTAAAAGACTAAGTCTTAAGATGTTAAAAGTTTGTTAACGCCATAAAGATGTTGAGAAACTTGAGAACATGATCTATTACATTGGAGTTAAAGATTGTCAGCTTGAATATAGTCAATAAACTTTTCTAATAAATAAGATTTTATGTGATGTCTTTACTGGCTAAAAACCAAAATGAAGGACTCACATTAAAGCCTTAATTAGCAAAACAAAATTCAATACTATAATTTAATTTTAAAGCTAAAGCGTTAAAATTTTTACTTGTTATACTTGTATAAATATAATATATTAAAACAAAGCTGTACAGAACACATATTTCGTACTTATAAATCGTGCCAATTAGTATTTAATTTTTAATTTTTTAATTAAAATCATTCAATTTAGATTTATTACAAATATTATTCAAGTAATTTTTTATATACCATATGTCTAGCCAATTATACTATATAATCTGAACTTACATGAATAACAATTATAATAATACTAGCATAATTTCTTATATATATACAAAAATTCAACTATTAATATCACAACTATAATTTAATATGTCAATTAAAATTGATAGATTTATATATTTTTAACAATATTTCAAATATAATTTAATGTTTCACACATGTTCAATATGACAGTCGTAGAAATTAATATGATTTAAAGTTGTCAATTTTTGTTATACAGCCGATTAAAACAAAATTTTTATACATAATCGTAAATAACCAGCTACTTGATTACAAAGTTTAAAAATTTTAATTTTAAATTAAAATATTTGAAAAAGGAATTAAAATTAAATTGATTGATTATGATTGAATTGAAATCGAACATGTTTAATTATAAAAGAATTAAGAATTATAAATTTTTTAAAATAATTAAAAAGATAATTGAAAATATAGTAATAATTTCAATGATTAATTGTTTAAAATTAGTTTCTTAATTGGAAAATAAAATAAAAATTATTATTGCCTTAAGTATAAGTAAAAATCTTACAATATAAAGGAGAGGATTTTTTTCTTGTTTGGCTGTAAAATATTATTCTATTTTGATATACATTAAATGTGACTAAATATTGGCATCAAGTAGGCAATATTATTTATTTCGTAGGCAATATATTTGAATTTTAGAAATGAACTTCATTAAAAATTTGCATTAATCTATTGATACTAAAAGAGAATTAGATGTTCGACAAAACATCATCTTATACATAGAATGTGATTTCTGATATTATACAGTTAGTCTCATACTTTACATAAGCATTAATATAAATTTTTCCAAAATATTTTAATTTTTCTGATATATATCAGAAAAAGGTATAGCTTCCTCTTTTTTAATTTAAAACTTGCTAAAAATTTACGTGGTTCTTAATTGTGATTAGAATTGTGGTTGTGTCATGTGGCAATTGCTTGAAAACTATTTTTCTTAAATAAAGCATGCTACGCATTACCTATTGATTTTATTTTCTTCACAAACTATCCTAATTAGATGACATTCACATTATGAAATTAAGTGTAATTGAAATATTTGCCTCCTATTTGTACAAATAGATTTATTTTAGATAATTACCAAATTGACTGTGTAATTCAATCATTTTTTTCGGATTTGCGTAATATATTTTAAATTGATTCTTCTTATATTGCATCTAACTGTTAATGAATTTCAAAATTAAAATGGTATTGTTTAATGTACACCTTTATGTTACTAACAAAAATCAAATTCCCAGTTAAATGTCCATTAATCTAAAAGATAAAATTTTCGTTTTACCCCAGCAGTACCTAAAATTTTATATAAGATAAAATCAATATGAAAAATGCCTCTTTTTTCATATTTTTTAACTAGACTTCTTAATTTTTCTGAATTTTAATAATAAAAAAATTGCATATATTTGGGCGAATCTATGTTTGTTTCTTGAAAAATTTTAATTAAAAACTTTTTATTTATTGTGAATAATGAAATATTTTTAAGTCAATAAAATGTTTTAGAACTTAGAAATATTTGTAAAAATAATTAGTTATGGCCAATTAATAGAATTTTGTAGGAATTTACGAAAATTATTTTACGAAGCAAAATGAAACTATAAAAAGCAATTTTTATTAATTGCGCAGTGTATTACATTAAAAGATGCCAAAATTATGATAATAATTACTGGTCTTCACTTCTCTTGAAAACCAGAGAATACAAAATGAAAGTCTTAATTATATTTCATTGTGCCAATATTAATTTTGTTGTTATTCACAGGAATTTTCTTAGACCTAAAAACATTTTATGTAATATGAAATGAAATTTCCACATTACAACATTTTAGAATTGCCTAATATGATAAAAATCGAAGTAAAGGGACAGTCATTTTAATAATTAGTTTCGATATAATTTTAGAAAACAACAAAAACTATTAAAATTATTTGAACAAAAACACAACTATCAAAAGAAATTAAACTAATAAAGTAATTAACAACTTAGTGATTTAAATAATTTAAAAAGTGAATCAAAAAATAATAAAAACTAAAATACAAAAAAAATAAATTAAATTTCTAAAAACAAAAACATGGAAGGCCGTTTAATTGAATATCGGCCAATTGGTGGTGGTTTAGATTATCATCATAGTTCACCATTAATAGGTGAAATACCAAATGGTGAATATAGTCATGTTGTTCATCGTTCTATTGATCAATTACGTAACAGTATTAATGAACGTGTTACATTAGGACCATTAAGTGTATTTTCAACGACACCATCATCATCGGCAACAGCTGCAACAGTAGCAGCAGCTGGAACTGATTTAAGAACATCAGTGTTAACATATAATACAAATAATTTAAATCAAATAACAGTAACTCCAACAACAAATTTATTAAATGCTAATACAACGGATCATCAACATCAGCAGCAACAACAACAATATTTACATCAAAATGGAACAATTCCAAATAATACAAATGCATCAAATACAGGGAATAATACAAATAATTTAAATATTAATGATCATAAGACTTCAAATGGTAATTCTTGTTTAGTTCAAGAAACAATTAAAGGTACAGGAACAGGTTTAATACAAAATGATTTTATTACAATTAATACAACACAATTAACATCGGGACATGGTAATGGTATAGTAGCATCATCAACACGCTGTTCTAGTAGTGGTAGTGAAAGATCAAGAAAATCACGTTCATCATATCATCATCATAATCATCATCAACAACATAATCAACATAATACAACGACAGTAACAACAAATCCCCATCAACAACATAATCATCATCAACAGCAACAACAACAACAACAACAGCAACAACATCATCATCATCAACAAATTCATGATAATGGTATTGGTGGTGGTGATCCAAGTATTTCATCAACTACAAGTAGTGGTATTTTACAACATAATGAAAATTCTCTTTGTGATGATGAAGATATTAAAGATCCGAAGGTATTTTAATTCAAATATTATTAGTGACAGATGATAATATTATTAAAAATAATATTTTTAAATTATAAATTTATTTATAGTTATTTATTCATTTGACTATGTACAAAGTGAAACCATACGGTTTTTGACTATGTCATTAGCATAATATCAATTCATTGTAGATGATGTTAAATCAAGGATTTTTATGAAAATTGGATCCATTTTGGAAACCAGTAAATTTCATTATACTCAATCTAATCCTGCACCCGTACTTCCAGAGATTCCAGAGCGTTCAAAACCCTGCTTTCATTTTTTTCATTTTTTTTCTTAATACTTGTGAATTCTGATATGCAAATATTTTTTATATATTAATTTTAATTTCTGACTCTTAGAAAATAATTTGTATATAGACGAGTATAAAATCTAACCAAATTATATTTAAATTTTTGAAAATGGACTCAAGTGAATCAAAGAAATTTGTTTTCTCTTCTTGTCTTAAATTTCACTAGGAAAAAAACTAGCTTCCTTTTTTCCTCTCCTAAATTAAATATTTTACTCCATAAACTACTTAGTCTATACATTTTGATAAAAGACTTAAACAATGAGGAATAAAAAATTAAACAAAATTATTGCTTAAAGGAATTTGAATACATTGTATACATAGAAGGGCTGTACATTACTAAAGGGGTGGGTATAAATAAAAAAAAATTTTTTTTTTTTTGTTTTTTCGAAGGGCAAGCGCAAATTATATTAAAAAACAAAACTAAATATATAAAAATCCATTTTTATGTAGCTTTTAATGTGTACATTATCACGTACATACGTATATATTTATATAAATATAAAAGTATACAAAAATATAAAAATAAAAAAGTCCATTTTTTTTTAAATAAAATTTTTTTTTACGCGGGTAAAGTGTTCATTTGTATAATTTCTCTCTTTTCTCTTCTAGCCATTCACAATTTTTTTCTTTGTTTCTTCTCTTGTACACTCATCTTTTTTCACTAATTATTTATAACGGTATACTAATATTATAAAAATTTTCTACACAATACTTTTTTTTTTTAATTTACTAGTATTTTATAACATTTATATACATTTATAATATATGCATACGTACATAAATACATATGTACGTATGTATATACATGAATATTTAAAAAAATTTTTTAAATCTGTAAAAAAGAAATTTAAAGAAATTTGTCTCTGAGTTTCGATTAGTTAGATACTAGCCTCCAGTAGTTCAGTTATTGAAGTTAGTAACATAGTAAATTTTGCGAACAAGTGCCTTGCTCTGAAAAACGGGAGATGGCACTTTTTCCAAGATATCGATTCGATGAATTAGAGGAGCTCTCGGGGATCTGCTGAACTTTTTCAAAGCAAAGAGAAGTGTACCGCAGTGAGGATGCCGATGGGCCTACTATTGACCTATTGGTCATCTTCCCTCTCTAACTAACTAATTTAATAACTAACATAAAAAATTTCAAAACAAACTATTTTATAAAAAATAAATCTATTGAATAAGAATCTCTATTCACTCAAATATTAAAATTTAATAAACAATCTATAAAACAAATAAAATTTATATAGGGTAAGAGGTATCGTATTAGAAAATTATTTATAATTATTTTCAATCTATATTTGGGACGAAAAGCTATCTAATTAAAACTTCGTAAATCTACGCAGGATTCAGTAGAGCATAAGTGTTTTTTTTTTCACAAAATTTTCGGAAAATTAATCTATAGTTAATAAGTATTTTAGTATATAAACATATAAACATATTGAATTGCCGTATATACATGTCAATTTTGCATTTTCAACTTCAGGTTTCAAATAGTAAAAAATTGAATTTCAATCAATTTTTTCTTGGCAATAGACCTCTTTCACAATTTTTGAGATAAATAATATCAACCTTGCTGTAACTTATTTTACTTCTATACTATTTTTGTCAATATTATTTGTAAACTTCGAACTAATTTACACGAATTTCAAAATAATTGATATCAAAATGCCTAAATTATCCATACTTAGCCTCCCCTATTTTGAAAAATCCAAATAAATAATACCAAAAATATTTCACTCACTTAAATACTACATTATTCAAATACATGATTTTTACATTACTTTCTTTCACAGTCTGAGTAAAACGACATTGTACAAGAGTGAAACCTTTAATATTTCATTAATAAAACTCCTTAATATGAAGTTTAAATTTTTTCACTAGACTTCCAGCATACTGCTACAAAATGAAAAATTAAAAAACATAAAAATAAACGAAAAAGGACGTATAAGATCTCACAACAACAACAACAACAGTAACAAAAGCAAAAATAATTATCTATTGAAAAGATATAAAAATTATATACAAGCAAGAATCCTTCATGGAATTTAATTTTTTTTATATTTTTTTCTTTTGAGTCTTGTCCAGCTTTTAATTTTTTTTTTTGAATCGCCGCTTTTTTTTTTCTTTTATTTCTTTTTTTCGTCTAATTTTTCTTCTTTTAATGAATCTAGCAGTGTCAAGTTGCACGCAAAACTTATTTGCCTTTGAACAAAAATTTCTTCTCAATATACCTACCCTTTTTCTCAACCAAATTAATATTTAAAAAAAAAAAGAAGAAGAAAAACAGCGGTCATAATCAATGCTCACTCCAAGAAGGACACTTGAAAAAAATGTTTAAAAAAAATTTAATGTATCTTCGAGTTAAAGACAGAAAGAGAAAAAAAAACATAGCAACAAAAATAATTTGAATAAAACAAAAATGAAATAAAAGCGCGTAACTAATGGAAAAAATATAAAAGGGTTCAATCGATAAAAAAAAAAAAAACTTAAAAAAATTAAATTTAAATACATAATTATTATGTATATAGCGCTTTAATACTTATATACTTGGGCATAAGTATGTACAATATGTATATACAATATTACATTATTCAATCAACAACTACAAGTAAATTTGACGCTAAAAAAATATTACGCTAAACTATACGACTTTTGATATAGAACACAACAGCACAACAGTATAAGGGAAATACTAAAAAAAATTGAAGATTATTATTTGAGAGTTTAAGAGAATGAGAAAACAAAGAATTGTTGAAAAGGTTCTCTTCACTTATGATAATAATTATGATAAATTTTGCTCTCATTTTTAGTGCTTTAACAAATTTATGTTAAAATGAGTAAAGAATTAATTTCAAGAGTAGAAAGCTTCAACAAAATTATTTATATTTGAAATTTTTGTGCTCAAACTGGAACCATTGTAATTCTCCAGAGTAGGGCCTTACAATGTAATTCGATTTAAGTGAAACGATTTTTAAGTTTGGAAAAATACTAAGTGGTACATTAATATGTTCCAATTAATAATCAATTTTTTTGATAATATCATTCCATTTCGGCAAATACGATAATCGAATTACCCTTGTTTATTATTAAAAAATTTTTAAATTCAAATTTGTATAGACTATAATTTATAATAAATAATATTATAAGAATCATGTTGTTCCATTTTTAAATACGATTTTTGCATTTTTCTTAAGAAAATATTATTAATTTTTTACAAAATAAAAATTTAACTCGGAAATTCTTGCAGAAAATTAAAATTAAACCCGAAAGTATGATATTTGAAAAATCGATTTTGGTTACTAAGCAAAACCATTAAAAATCACATGGAAACTAATATAAATATTAAGAAACTAAATAAAATGACCGTAATTTAAATATCGTAAAATAAAATCAATTTAAATATATCAATTTTATAATTCCATTCTTCTTTAAACAAACATTTTAATGAGAAGGTTAAAACAACTTTTTATTATTTTATCTTTAAAAAACTCATATTCGGAAAACGCCAAATTCTCTTCAAAACCCTAACTCAAATCTGTTATACCTATTGAAAAATAAATTTTCAAACATCAATAGAATAAAATTACTAAAAGAAAAAAGTAAAAGTTTTAAAAAAAATTATGAAATTAAGGACCAGAATAAATAATAAATTTTTAGTGAAAAAAAAAACAGAAAAACTTCTCTTTCATTTCTATTGGAAGACATGAAAAGGAGAAAAAAAACCAACGTTCGCGAAGAAAACACAAATAAAAAATTGATTTAAAGTCAATTTTTAAATACTTGAATTTTTAAAAGGCACTATTAATATTGTCCAATAAAAAAAAATTGAATTTCTTTTAAGCATTCGCTTTTTTTATGAAAATGAAAATTAAAAATTAAATTGCTGTTGCCTCACTACAAAATTGAAAATTTCATTTTGAAATTTACGCCTTCTTATTTTTACAAATGAATTTTAAACGATTAATTCTATTAAATTTAAAAAAATTTTATTGAATTTCATTTAATTTTGCTATTTATGAAAGAAAATCTTAAACTTTTAACAAAGAGAGTTTAAATTGAATTTTATTTAAGAAAATTTAATTACTACGAGTATAGTTAGAATGTGAACAAGGATAATTTACTAAGCTGCTTATGAATGTAGAAATTTTTATGAATAAAAAACTTCATATTATTTAAATTCGATTGTCCAATCGTGGCATTTAGCCGCCAAAATAACCCAATTAGCAAAAATGTGCGGTTTTGCGTACGATTATAGGTGGCCTATCTAAGCCACCCGATTCTCTTGAGAAATCTATTTAAATCCCCGATACTAATATTCCATCTCTTGCCCAAGCCCGTCACACTTGCTCGGCCTCTCATGACCTGTTTGGCCCGGTCCAGACCCGAACTCTCTCATATAAACTCTATCACTTTTAGAAAAATTTAATTAAAAAAGAAAGATTTATAAAGTTTTCCCTTCACAATAATTATTAATTTTATAAAGCCCATATTTATATTTCTTATTTCCGAAGACCTATCGTACTATAAATCTAATTTCCTTTTCATGATTATCAATTATTAATTATAACATATAATGTACATTTCAATTTATATAGATTTGCAAAATATTGTCAATTTTCGTTTCCTGAAATGGCTAATTTTCCTATTCATCTCTTAATCTGTCAATTAGATAAATAATTTTAATTCTATACAAATTCCAGTATTCGGAGTGCCTTAAATATAATATAATTTTCCTAATATTTTAAATTACGTAGATTACATAGATTATTTTAGCCATTATACTTATACTTAAAAGTATTCCCTGAAATATTTTATAGGCACAATTAAAACTTACACCAAATACAAACGTATTAAAAATAAAAATTATTCGAAATTTTTAAAATAAGTTATACATTTTCAAGGAAAATCCAGAAATTCATTTAAAATAAAATTCTTTTGAACTTCGCATCGATTAATGAATAGTTGTTTGGCACGCTCTACATGAAGAAGCCCAATTTTATAGTTATTCAGTTCGACTATTTTATTGTCCATTTCTTGTATTCAAACGAAATTTTTGTCTTGTATCACACCTTTTGCGTTAATAAAATTTTTTGATTTTATAATGCTTTTTATTCCTTACGAATAATTTTTTAATATAAAATAAATTTCAATAATATTTTTACTAAAAACAAAAAACAAATTTTTTTTTTCTATTATAGATTTTTAGTTCTAAAGCTGATCTACAATTACATACACAAATTCATATGCGTGAAGCTAAACCATATAAATGTTCACAGTGCTCGAAAGCATTTGCAAATTCGTCCTATTTATCTCAACATACTCGCATACATTTGGGCATAAAACCATATCGTTGTGAAATTTGTCAACGTAAATTTACTCAGCTATCACATTTACAACAGCATATTCGTACACATACCGGTGATAAACCATATAAATGTCGACATCCTGGCTGTCAAAAGGCATTCTCTCAACTTTCAAATTTACAATCACATTCCAGATGCCATCAAACTGATAAACCATATAAATGTAATTCATGCTATAAATGTTTTACTGATGAACCATCATTATTGGAACATATACCGAAACATAAAGAATCAAAACATTTAAAAACTCATATATGCCAGTATTGCGGTAAAAGTTATACTCAAGAAACATATCTGACTAAACATATGCAAAAGCATTCAGAACGTACTGATAAACGTCCACCAATTGTTACTGGTAGTGGTGGAAATTCAACAACAGCTAATAATACCAGTAATGGAGGTAGTGGTTCAAATGGTAATACAACAACATCAAATTCAGCTGGTAATAATAATAGTGCTGGTAACGGTAGCAATAATACAACATCTACAAATAATAGTAATAATAATCCTAATGGAGGTAATAATAATATAATAAAATAAGTAATAATAATCCTATTTAATACTAATATTTTAGTTGGACAAGAACATTCATATTGGCCAAAAGTATCGCCCGATTCACAAGCAAATATAAATGATGTTATGCATCAACAGCAACAACAACAGCAACAGCAACAACATGTACAACAGCAGAATCATCATGATTTCCCACCGTTAAATTCTCAACATCAACAAAATGCTACTTTACAATCACATCATAATCCTGGCGATGGTAGTGGTAACCCTGGTACAGGACCTGTTCGTGATGAAGTCGGTAAGTTCAAACATATATAATTATTTAAACTCAAGAATAAATATTAAAAATTATTCAAAATTTTTCTTTATTAAAATTTTTAGGTCCAACACCAACCGGTTATGATACATCATCAATTACAAAAACATCAAGTAATTCAGCATTTACACCAATAACAAATTCAACTATGGTATCACCACATTTAGCTCATCATCCAATGGCACAACGTCCATATTTATATGATGCAATAAGTTTCCCAAATAAAAATGTCAATCAAAATACTGCAAATACATTCCCAAATCAATTAATTTCATTACATCAAATAAGAAATTATGCCCATCAGCCAGCTGGTTTAATGGCTGGTGAACATTTATTAGGAGTTAGTGTTGGTGCTGGTAAGGACAAAGGATAACTATATAATTTTTATAATTAAATTTAACAAAAAAAAAACAAAAACAAAATGTGAAAATAAAAAATTTTATATAATTTTGGGAAATATTAAAATATTTTTCTTAGAATATTATAAAATTTTCTGTTTTCACAATATAAAAAATTATTTTTAAGTATGTAATAATAATTTAGATTTTATATACACATTTAATTATACATTCATGTATTATACAAAATATATACATAACTTAAATATCAAATGTGTGAATATAGCTAAATTGCAGCATTTATTTTGAACACAAATCGTTTTTGTTTAAAAGAAAATATTTTTAGTTTTAAATATTTTGAAATTTAGTATCCCCAAGACCAAGAAGTGCTTGTTACATTAAAATTGCTAATTAAATTTCGAATTTTCCAATTCATTTAATTAATATAGTTAAATCAGAAATTTCAAATTTTTATAATTGACTTTAACCACTACCAATATACTCGTATAAATGGAAAATAATTTTCTTTTATAAAGTTTCGATGATCTTATTTGCTCTAACAGCACTCTTTTAAATTAAAAAACGTGTTGTAATTAATGACTTATTTAATAATTAATGTTGACAGACCCGTTTCATAAGGGATCCATGTCAAATACCATGTTAGTATAATCATTCATATAGCAACAAAATGTTGATTTAAAATCCCAGCAGCATAATAGCCACGTATTAGCTTTTATAAGAATACTTGAAAAAGTCCATAGCTCCTACTGATATTTTGTTAATATTATATTATACTGACATTATTTTCAAATTATAATTTTCTTTTTAATACATAATAATTCCATTTTAAATTTTCCTTTAAGCACCCTTCACCAAATACATAATTTATGTAAATATAAATATAAAATAATATTTTATATATGCAATAAATAATTATAATTTAGCGAAATGCTGTAAATTAATTTTCATATTCTATTAATTTTTATTAGTTATTATTTTAATATTAAAATTCTAATAATAAAAAATAGTATTTATAATTGTAAAATATTTATTGTAAATTAATTTATTATTTTTTTATATTTAAATCTTTAATAATTAATTAATTATTTTCGGCATATTTACATTCATACATATAGAGCATATGTCATTATTACCATAATTGAATTAATTTCAAATAAAATATATAAATATTTTAAATATATAATTTTGTATAATCTTTACATAAAAGTATTCTTAGATGTTATTAATTATTATTATAGCTATATTATATTATTATTATTATTACAACTATATTAATTATGAAAAGAAAATTTTAGTGTAAAAATTCATGAAAAAAAAGGCTTTTAATAATTATGTTAATTATTTTATTTAATTAATTAATTTATGTAATTAATTACTATATATAATTATAACCGTCCAATAATATTATGTGAATATTAATATTATATTATAAATAATAATTTATAATGATTTAAAAGGCTTTTTTCTACAATATATTAATATTATTAATTAAATACATAAATATATATATTTAGTTATTTAATATTTAAAATAATTAAAAAAAAAATTATTAATTAAAATGAATTATAAATAGCGATTAACATGCATACATATTTATAATTTAACATGATATTTATTGAATTAATTATTTTGAAAATGTTCAATGGATAATAAATTGTTAAGAAAATTTCGAAATGCACATTTTTGGCTAATTGAATATGTAAAATTAAATTTTTAAGAATGATTTGTTTGAACTCTTCTATATTCTTAAAATAATTTCGGAGTAATATCTGAAACACTTTTCATAATAACATAGAGTTTAAGGTGAATGTTATTATTATTCACAATAATGTTATAATAATGTTATTATTATTCACAATAACATTCACCTTAAATACAACCTGATTTCATGGTCAATTTTGTAAAAAAGATAGGGTATAATCGGAAAGTAATCGATGTAGCATCGATATGTAATCATGTAAGAATCATATACTAATATGCATCAATACGGTCATACTTTAAAGTTTGGTGTCTAAAAATTTTAAAAATACACATCATATTAAATCAGCATAAATTTTTTTTGTGATTTTGTATTGATGCAAAGTTTTTTTTAAATGGAAGGTGACGAGTAAATAATTTATTATTTTAACTCAAAAACTAATAAAGTTAATTATTTCTTTATGCACGCAATATTAATATTTGTAAATGTTTCTTTATATTAAAATCTCCAAAAACTTAATTGAAATCAAAAGAATTTTTTTAATAAATTTCCAGTTGTTAATAATTTTAATATTTTTACACAAAACCATTTCAAAATAAACACCAAAAAACATATAATTTCGAAAGGGTCCAAAAATGTCAAAATAATATTGCATCAGCAACACATCACATCGGTATAGCATCAGCAACTTTTTTTTTGCATCGACGCTACATTGATGCCCATTTTTATTATTTTCCCATTTACCCATGTTATTTTTCTTAAATACAATAACAGACTCTTTTTTGAATAACAAATTTATTGTAAATACAGTAATCCCTCGATGAAAGTTGTTTTTGGGACGAAATATATAATTTACGATTTTAAACCAAATAGGGTTATATATAATTTTTTTTTGCAACAAAAATTAATTTATAAAAACGAAATTTTAGGAATAGGGTGACTTAGTTATGAGTACAATACAACATATCATCGTCTCGAGAATCAAAAATTTTTAATTTTTTCCATGATTTGAGCTTTATGTATTTAAAATCATGAATTGTTGAAAATTTTTTTTGTGATGCAGGAGCTAAAGCAAAAAACCATTTATTAAAGTTCGCGATTTTAAAGACTTATTTTTACTTTTTATTAATTTTAGATGCTATAATTCTCAATTAACTATTATTAGTACTTTACGATCATGTTATTTTCATGAAAAGACTTAATTTTAATATTTTTATTTCAAATTCAATTAATTAATGTAAGACAAAAATTAATATGGTTTACTTGTTTCTAACTTTCATAATATTGTTAACTAAATCACCTCCCATAAAGGTACCATAGACATAATAGGCCAGTATTCAAACGCAAAGTAAAAAATTAAATATTGTATCAATAATTTTTGTCATATGAATAGTGGCCATGGATATATTACATCATATAGTGAGAATCACTACGAACATTATTACACTAACGTTTATACAATTAATAGACACTTTTGGAATTAATTGTTTTGGGTATTAATTAGTGTATGGTTTACTTGCACATTAATAAACAATAACTAGAAAATTCTGAAAATCTAAATATTTCTTGTCTCCTTCAATTTCATAATGTTTAATTGCCAAAATTCTTTGTATCCTATGATCCTTCTTATTCTAATAAAACATCTATAAGAAAAAAATTCTTCATATTAACTCAATCGGTGAATTAACTTCTGCGAAAAAACTAATTTAGGCATAATTCAAAAATTGTATATGCCTTAGTAGCAATTGTAAGAATACACTCTTCCTAAATATTTATGTATTAAAAGTACATCTAAACATCAAAATTAAATCCAAATATCGATAACTTTTAAATATTATTGCTCCACAACAACCTTCGGCAAAGTGCGGCCCATGAGCAGCATGCGGTCCCTTAAACTTCAAAATGCGACCCATAATTTTGCTTGCAAGGAAAAAATATATTCTATTGGGACTATTCAAAAAATTTTAAGAGCTCTCAATCATAGATGTAAATTTATAAAATTCCATACAAATTTATTATTTGTCAAAACAAAACAAATGATTTAGTCAGTTGAAAATGTCATTTCTTCTTGTAAGCAGGTAACGTACAAAATTCGAGTGGCCCATACTAATACTCACATATATTACATGTTTACCCATTAACACTATTAAAAATTTTTAAATAATTTCAAGCAGAATCAAAATATTTTTAAGTAATAATGTTCTTACCGACCTTATTGCTTGAAATAGGAGCAATATTGTGATCGAATCATATGTCGACTTCTAACCGATAATGTACGTCTATCTGGGCTAAGCCGCGATTTTCAAGAAATTTTTATTTAAATTAATTTTCGAGATACCACACTTTGACCAGTTGTTGGTATTACTTGGGTATTACTTTTAAGGTAAGAAACTAATTAACAGACTCTCATAACAGATAAAAATTTATACTGTTATCATATTTTTTGCATTACTTATATTATTATAAATTTGGCTATGCTACAACAAATTTCCATTGAACATTTTTAAAAAAAAACAATAAGTTGCAAAAATTTATTAAATATTTTTTTTACTATATTTGAAAACAAAATTTGTTCATATTTTTTTTTTTCTTTTTTTTTTTTAAATTTTCAGGTAAATAAATTTTTTTATAGTTACTCTGTAATCTATCTGTTATCTTATTTGTGTGTGTCTGTCTAAATGGAATGTTGTGATCTCGCAGAGCTCAAAAAAAAATAAAATTTAATATAATAATAAAAATTAAAATAATTTAAATAAAAATTTACAATTAATTAAATATTAATTATAAATAAAAAAATAATAATAACATTTTTTTTCTTTAGAGATAAAACTTTTAAAAAGTAAATAAAAAAGTAATATTTAAATATAAAATAAAAAGAAAATTCAATTTTGAAAAAAAAAATAATAATAATTATAATTATATAAATTAAGAAATTAATTAAAAAACAAAAGAAAAAAACATAAATTTAAAAATTAATTTTAATTAAATTAAAATTGCAAAATTAAAACAAAAAATAACGAAAATATTGAAAGATTCAAATAAAGATAAAGATTTAGTGAAGAACAGAACAATTTAATAAATATTTGTAAATTTAAGTATACATATTTATTATTATATAAAAATATCAAAACTAAAATTAGAAAATAAAAATTTATTGATTCAGAAAACAAAACAAAAAAAAATATAAAATTAAATTTAATTTTTTTTTTGTTATTTTTATCTTTTACTTTTACAGAAAATTTCTAACTAATTTAAAATGGTTTTTGTCCTTGCTTAAGGCTTAAGTGATCAATATAGCAGCATACTTAATCTCTT